TATTATCATACCTGACACTTCAGTGTGCTCAGAAGCTGCTGTTCCTTTTCACTGACTGACTCCTCTAGCTGCTTCTCTGCCATCTGGCTTTGCTGCAGCTGGTTGAGAAGGTACAGCACCTAGAGCAAGACATGCTTCAATGGGTAGTATCCAAGGAAAAAGGGGACAAAGGAATTTCAACTTAGTTCATTCAAGTAGTGATTCAGGTGACTCCTTTGTGCTTTAGAGAAACACTGTTCTCTTTTGCTCTCATTACTTGAAGCAATATGCACAACATTTCTCAGCATGTTAATCTTGGTATTCAAGTAAGAGACTAAAAGCCTTCATCACTCTTATGTATAAATTCAAGAAATTCAAAACAGAGAGAACTTGTCTTATTTGCAAAATTTGGAAAGACCACATGGCCTTAGAAAAACATTATATATTCTTCACTAACTTTTTTTAAATGAACAAAAGGCAATGGGTGTGAGTAGAGCTTCTTGGCTTGTCAAAGTTTACCTTCTCCTGGCACTGTTGCTCAATTCTGACCATATCAGCTTGTAACTCTGTTTCTATCTCAGCAAAATGATGTCGTTCCTCAAACAGCATCTTCTGCATGTCAGCACAGCTGGCCTTGCTCTGTTTCAGGCTGCTTTCAAGCTTGCTGACCTGTATTTTGGAAGAGACCAGCTGGAAGAGATAAAAGAATATCAGTTTTTCTGGAGAATGACCATGTTTCCCCCTATTCATCAGCAAGAAAATACCAGTTTTCTCAAAATGGTCTGAGAAAAGCTCCTTCATTTGAATTTTTTCAAGTTATATGGATTCTAACATTGAACAGTAACATTAACTACTGCTCCATTCCCAGGCCAAGGGTGCATATTTCTGCTGAGACATATTATCTTAGGGATAGAAACCATTGTTAATATTAATTTTCTTTCTCGTTCTGCCTCAAAACAAACACAAACAATATCTGACAACTCCAAATTCTTCCTTAATCTTAAAAGGAAATTCACAGAATACACCCTTACAGCCAATTATGTCCTGTCTCAAAAAGTCTGCATTCACGTTAGAACTCGTAGACACATTAGCTGAGACTGCAGATCTGACTCTTCAGGCTAGATTAATATCCTGTGCTGGCCTAATCTTACATTCACCACTAGCCCAGTTGTAGGTTTTTTTTTTTTTTTTTTTTTTTTGGAGAGTTTTTCACTTTAGGGGGC